CACACACACGCGCGCGCGCGCCCACACATCCACAAATGCACACACACACACACACACACACACACAACAAGCGCTCCTGCCCGTTGTGCCACTACAGCCCCTCCCCAGAACGTCCGGCCCCACTGCTCACCTGGAGCCCGGCCTCCACAATGTCTACCACCCGCTGCATCTTCTCCCCTGGCAGCGACGCCAGGTGCGCGCTCAGCTTGCGCTTCTCCTCAAAGTTCATGCCGCGCGCCGGGTCGAACGGCCCCAGGCTGCCGGGCGGCACGCCCTCGTTGAAGTCGCGCGCCGCTATGTAGTGGCCCAGCATATCGCGCTTCTCCTTGAGCTGGCGCGGCAGGTCGCTGTTGGGTAGGCCTTCTGTGTTGCCCTGCAGCGCCTGTTGGGGTTTGGTGCGGTCGGTTTCAGGGCGGAGTCAGCAGGGCAGCACTGTGTTCGGTCTGCTCGGCCGGTATGATGAGTTGAGACAAGGGCCTGCTGCGCGATCGAACAAAGAGGCGCAGCAGCAGCGGCTTGCTGCAGCAACTTGCTCAGGCTCGAACCGCCAAGCCCGGCCCCTGCTGCCTCCACGCCCTTGCTCAGCCTCGCCGGCGGCATCCAACCCGGCTCCGCTCGGCGCGGAGCCCAGCACCCACCCTCGCCCGCCCACCTCGCGCGCAAGGTCCTCCTGCTTGAGCATGATACCCCACTGCTTGTCCACCTGCAGTGGGCCCCACGCCTTCTCAAAGAACTCGCTCATCGCCTGCGCCGCCAGGCCGACGACGTGGGTGCGGCCGTTGTAGATCACAGCGTTGTCCCAGATCAGCCGCATGTCGGCCGCAAACTCTGCCGGGTCCTTGTACACGCGCAGCTTGAGCTTCTCCCCGACAGTCTGCAAGTCCATGGGGTTCTTCACGAGCAGGGGGTAGTCAGGGATCTTCATGCGGATGGGGTCCACCGGCTTCTTGAACGCCTCGGCCTTCTGGTTGCGCCGGCAGCGGTCCAGCACCTTGTAGCACTCGTGCCACAGCGCGTTGCGGCGCTGCTGCTGCTCCGCGACCAGCCGCTGCTTCTTGGCCTCTGGGCCCTCGGCGTCTGCGGGGCCAAGCCCCAGCGGGCGCTTGTTGGGCGCCTTGAGCTGGGCTACCTTTGCCGAGCCGCCGGCGGTGATCACGTCGAGCTGGCGCTCGTACGCGGCAAGCACCTGCTCGTGCTGCGCCGCGAGCGTGCGCAGCTGCCCCAGAAGCGCGCGTGCCTGCGCGACTGCGTCGGCGCCGGGCGGCATGGCTTTACGCGGAGCTGCTGCTGCTGGTGGTGGTGCTGCTGCTGTTGTTGCCTCGCGGCCGTCGGCGTCGCTGCCGACGCCTACACCGCCGCTGTCACGCACTGCCGCCTACGTCAAAGTCACACGCCACCGCCACCTACTCTGCAGCCACAGCGCGCGTAGCGCGGCGTGCTCGCACGACTGCCGCCTCTGGTTGTCCGCGGTCGGGCGCGCGCAAGGCGCTCCCTTCCCTGTCACAATCAGCTGTCGGGGCGACCGTGCTGGCGAGGACTTTGAACTGTCAGCGAGGCTTGGAACGCTCCCGCAAGTGGAATGCGGGCCCTGACAAGCTGTGCCCTGCCCTGCCCTGCCAGATCTGCCTGATCTCCAACAGGCGCCGGGCCTCTTGCAACTGAAAACTACAAGCTTATTGACGCTTTGGCCGTTGCTAGAGGCCCGCGCGGCCCAGCCCCCGCGTAGAGGGGCGAGGGGGCCCTGGTTGCTGCAGAATGTGCCGGATGCTTGTGGAAAGCAGCCTCGGCGATTGGACAAACTGGGGAGGGCCGTCGGAATGGGTCCCGCAGCGTGCCAACTTGCCATGCCTGCAGACCGCCCCACGGCTCCCAAGCGCGTCCAGGTGCGATGGAGCGTCGTGAAATGCTGCGAACAGGCCGCCTTGAGGGCATAGGGAGCGGAGGTACAGGCCCGTGGGGGCTCATCTCGGCTCAGCTCGGGCCATTGCTACCCAAGTCCACGGATGCCGCAAGCCCTCCTCAGCATGGGGTGCTCAGAGCTTAGGCACGAACTTCCAGCTTCTGCACTGTATGGCTGCACATTGGGGGGGCTGTGGCCACCGGCGCTGCTGGCGCCAGCACCGCTGCGAAACAGTCGCAAGCGGCACTGCCTGCTGTACTTTTTGCTGTCCTTGCTTTTCGCAGCAGTCGAGCACGAACAGAGCATCCAAACACAGAACAAGGGGTTTGAATTCACCACCTCGGCATCACACAACACCAGGGAATGCAGCAGAGCAGATATAACTGAACGTGCGACACCTGCAATTTCACAGCCTTCCCCGATTTCATTTCCTGCGGCGCCTGCTGCAACAACGGGACCTTCAGAAACAACGTGGGATACAGAAGCACTGAATGGAGCACAGAGCATCTATAAGCGCTCAAACAGTGCGGGCGTGTGCTTAGAATGCGCCGTCTGCATGGTCCAGTCATTGAATTACCCTTGCTCCACACCTGTCCGCCTGCTTCACACGCATCGTGATGGCACCGCCCACTGGGTGGTACACGTACCACACACCGGCCACAGGGTCCCGCTCCACAGGCTGCGTGGGTTGTTGGACGGTTGCAGAATTGTGACATGCTGTGTGCGTCATGAGTTCATGGGCATAGGGGGCAAGGCCGTGCAGCATGCCATGATGGCATTTGAAGTAGCTGCTGCATTCACCCAATACCATCAGCATCGCGCACCTTTGCCGCCCGCTTGAGCCGCAGCTGCAAAGCCAGCCCGTCTGTGGCCAGCAGACCCACAGTCAGCCACAGGCCAAGAGGCGTGTCGTCATGCGTGCGCACAGCCATACTGGGCAGCTGCAGCTGTGCCTCTGCCTTGCACCCGCAGTAGCGCACCACAATCTTTGAGAGGGGGGCCAGGGTTTGGGTTGGGAGATTGTTAAGGGCACGGTCTCGGTCGTTGGCAACAGTTAGGGCCCAAGCATCGCTACGATCAACGCTGACAATGCATGGTAACACCCCCTTCAGGACTGGCGTAGTGTTGGGAAATCCATGGCCACCCTGACAGCAGCTCAGGAACCAGCCCCGATTGCCCACCTTCCCATCACAGGGCAGAGGTCTGGTCGACTCCATGCCCCTGGTTGACAGCCTGAAACGCTCCCCCGCCACGGAAGAGCCACCGTCGCCTGCCACCACCACAGGCTCGGGCGCCCGCGCCTCGTCGACCTTGCAGCTGAACTCGCACCACCGCTCGTGCACGCCTGATCGCACGCGGCGCCAGCACTCAATCTGCACTGCTGGGGCGCCTTGCTCCGCTCCTGCGCCACCAGACCCCTCTGCATGCTCGCCCATGTTGCCCTGTTGGCTGCCGCTGCCCCCACCCTGGCTGCAGCTCCTGCTGCCCCGCTGCTTGCCCTCTGGCTCCAGGCTGCACATGAATTCAAACGACTTGAGCATGTGCTCAGCCCGCTTGCGCGCCAGCCGCCGCGCCTCGTCGCCTAGCCAGCGCTCCCGGATGTGCGCGGCCAGCGCCGGCCAATCTCGCCCGCGTGTGATGGCCTCGCGGGCGGTCGGAACCTGCTCCAAAATCAGGTGCGCGGCCTGCCGCCCATTGCGAGCCCCACCGCCGCCAGCTCGGTAGGAGATGCCCTGGTCCGCGCCATCGCCGCTGCTGCCCAAGCGAGTATCGTGCGCCCCAGAATCAGCGCCCACCGCCATCTCGTCCAGGAGGCGCTGCAGGTCCTTGAGAACAGGCAGCTGGTCGAGCAGCGGCTCGTGCATGTGGCGCCGCAGCTTTTGCAGCGCCTCGCGCCGGTACTCGTCGGGATCATACTTGGCCCTGATTGTTTGATCGGATTGTTCGTGATCATATTCAATTTGAAATGAGTGTGTGTGCATGTGTGCGCACACGCGCGCACACGCACGTGCACGCGCATGCGTGCGGACGTGTCTACGTGGACGCATGCGTGCGCGAGCGCGCGGTGAATTTGCGCGCCTGCCTATGCTATAGGGCACATGCGAGCAACTGCGTGCTTTGTGCAAAGCCTGGATGAATAACAATGCATCCACAATTCAAAGGGCAAAGCTGGACCTTGGCCACCTCCGGCCTCGCTTCGTTCAAACCTGCAGGCCGGCTCCAGCAGCAGATTGTGCAGCGCCAGCCACACCTGCGCGTCCGGCAGCGCCAGCTGCAGCCGATCTGCTGGCTCCACCACCTGCCAGTACCCCTGAATGTACCGCTCCATCTGAGGGTTGGATGGACGATGAAATGGACATCAAATGGGAAGGATGTGTGCCTTGCACAGGCACAGAAGAGTGACTTGAATTCTTCAGTGAATTGATCAGTGATGGCTGCACTGCATCGGGGTGCCTCGCCACAGCCGCGCCTGGCGCCCGCTGCACACCGGCGCCCATTGTGCATGACAGCAACGTGTGCACCGCACAACATCCGCGCACTCAGCAAACCCATCCGCGCACTCAGCAAACCCATCCGCGCACTCAGCAAACCCATCCGCGCACTCAGCAAACCCATCCGCACACCACACGCACCTTCCCTTTGTGCGTCCGCGCCCATGGCGGTTGTGCCACCAGCGGCATCAGTGCCATGATCGTGTCGTTGGCCGACACCAGCCGCGCCATCACGCCCAGCGGCAGAGAGCCAAGATGCTCTGCCAGGTAGCGCATTATAGTCAGGCCGCACATACCAGCGCCCCAGGTCACCTCGCCAAGCTGCTCATCCAGGTGCTCCTCAGGGCCCAGGTCCAGCAGCTGCCGGGCGCTGCGATCTGAGACGGATGGGGGACATGGCATACCAGGGTTGTATGGTTGCGGCGGGTGTTGGGGTTGGCAAATTTGTTCGTTGGCGCACAGGGACCTGACATTACCCTTCACTCATGGGGCCCTGTGTGAGGGCGTGCGCAGCGCTCATTGCCACCACTTGCACCAATCTGTTCTGCCCTGCTGCATGTGCCTCACCCTTGGCGGTGTCTGCTGAGTGCTTGTGCGCGTCTGTGTTGAGGTATGTCAGCTTGCGGTAGGCCCAATCTGCCAGCTCCAGCAGCATGTCTTCGCTGGCGGCCTCGCATGCGCAGCGGTGGAACAGCGCAACCTAGGAGACAGTGGGCATGGGGAGTGGGGCCTGCCACGTCATGGCGTCGGTCTCGTGCATGCTGAGCCTGCAGCCGCTCAGGCTACCGACAAGAGTTCAGTGCTATGTCGCGGCTGCAGTCGACAGGATGGCACGGTCCAGCTGCAGTGCTGCTCGGCAGTCCATGCGCGAAGCATGACTTCCCCTGTCCCTTGGCAAACCCACCTCCAGCAGGTTCGCCAGGGCCGTCTCATGGAACAGCAGGCTCCAGCTTATAGCACTGTCCACGCGCCGCGCCAGGTGCTCACGCAGCAGAGGAAACACGCGCTCCCGCCACGCCTGATCCAATGGTGGTGGGGCGGAACGCAAGCGGTTAAGGTGTGGAGCAAGGGGTGGTCGCGCCGAAGGTGCAGTACTGCGCAGGGCTGCCTGTGATTCCCTTCCATGCGGCTGGCGCGCCCAACATCTGCTGCAGTAGGGCGCCTCGCACCTCCGCGACCAGCAGGCTGTGAATCAGCACGTCCACCTTGCCGTGAGACACCAGGGCCTCCATCACAAACTCGTCAGACCTCGCTGCGGCATTATGGTGCGCCTGCAGGTTGAGCTGGACAATCCAGTCGTGCTGCTCCAAGAAGTGAGGACTGCCGAACTGCCGGTTCGCGCGTCAAGAGTTGTGAGTTTGTGATGTACGTGAGGATTAGGGATTCATGCCGCACATGGAGGTTGGCTTGTTGCTTGCGGTGGCTTACATTGTCACTTGTGCAGCCTTCTGTTCCCCACTACCCCTTGCGCGCCATATTCGAGCGCCTCGCCGCACCTCTTCTCTGGGGGATGCCTTTAGCCTCTCAACTATGCTCTCTGCCTCAGTTGCCGTCAAAAGGGCCTGCAGAGACGGCGCGGACTGGGTGTGCGCGACGGGTGAGCATTGCAGCGCAGGCGCGCAGAGCTCTACGCAGAAATGCTTACGCCGCCGATGCCGCCTCTCGGTATGCTTTCATCACCGGCACGCAGGAGCTGTTCAAGGCAGGCCATTCAGTTTGCAGAGCTGCAGCAGCCCGCGATTGTCGCGGGATCGAGTCGATCTGGCGGGACTTCAGAAATGGAGAATTATTCCGAGTACGGTATGTTATGCGAAGGCAAAATTAAGGTAATTTCATGTTGTTGTATATTACAACGATTAAACATATCTGTAAGATCACGCAGGAACACGCTTTCTCGTTTGACCAGGCTGCGACGGTATCTTCAAAGCATGTCAAAAATCTGGGCGTTGGCCTGAATTCCTAGCGTCATCATGGGATGCTCGGCTTCCAAAGGTGGGCGCCTGCCGTGACCTGCGGCTGACCTGGGCCGCGCGTGGCCCTCACTGCTCTGCTGCTTGCTGCTGTTCCGCAGGCGCTCAGGTGGCGGTACCTCAACAGGCAGGCCCGGCGCAGCGGGCCCAGCATCAGAGCAAGGTGGCGCCCAGTTCCAGGTGGAGCATTCTTGCAGAGCGATGAATGCCTTCAGGGGCAGCGAGATGGAGCAAGAGTATTGCAGTGTTCTGCTGGTTGACCTCATGAAATTGACGCCAGCGCCATGTGTTGACCAGTGTGTCGTTAGTCTGTTCACAATCGCGCATGTGCTTGTGCCAAGCGCAGGTGTTTACTGCCCGCGGTGGAGCTCGAACGGCAAGCGGGTGGGTGCGTGGTTGCAAGCGGCCTCGCAGGTGAATTTGCATGGTGTGCCCCACGCACGCAGCGATGCAGGATAGTGATTGCATAACACCGCACACGCGTACGACATTAATGCAGCCCTGCCACATGTGATTCCCCTGCTCAGCCGCACATGGCGTCGCTGAGAAAGTGCGGCAGATCATGTCCACGGGCGAGGACGATTTTTGCGAGACACTCAGCAGCAGGGACAAGCGCCAGCTGAACGCCTTCGGAGCTGCAGACGCGGCTGCGCACGCCACTACTGGTGGTGCTGCCAACCCGCTGCTGCATGCCCCAGAGTGAGAACTTTGGATGAGCAGGGCCACGCCTGCGAATTGCATGTTCAATTGCATAATGCAGAGATATTCACAACTAATGTCATTTCCTGCTGTGGTTGCTCATGACATCGCAGGAGCGTTTGGCTGGGCAGCATGCAGACACAGCTGGAGCCTGAATTTGACTACAAGCAGTCCATGCCTGGGCACGCCGGTGGCGCACTGCTGGGTGCCGCCCCCACAAACGGCCTGATTTCCCGCAACCCTGAATGGCTGCAGTCTGGAGTCAAGGGCGCCCTCCCGCCCATCATAGGCCACGGTGGGGGCAAGCTGCTGCGGCCCATGACCTTCAGCAATGATAGGCATGGTGCATCTGGCCTGCTGGCACCAATCTCAGCGCAGAGGGCGTCTCAGATGCCGAACAGCAGTGAGCTGGCAGCGGCGGGATCAGACTCCTCTGCGGAAGGTACAAGCAAGCCTGCAAACGCCACAATCGAGGTCTCGGCGTTGCAAAGAGCTCCACAAGCAGCAATTGACAGCAGCGGAAGGGAACAAGCATGCGCCTGTACATCGCAGGCCATCAAGCGTCAAGACAGCAAGCAGCCGCGGCAGCAGCAGCAGCAGCAGCAGCAGCAGCAGCAGCAGCAGCAGCAGCAGCAGCAGCAGCAGCAGCAGCAGCAGCAAGAGGAGCAGGCAGACCAGGAACATCATCATCTTCACCAGGAGCAACAACAACAGCAGGAGTGGCCGACTATTACAAGCAACCGGCCCCTGCACACGCTGGATGCACCTGCAGCACCGGGCGCCGGCGCCGGTACATCTGCAGCAGCAGAAAGGCAGGCTCCAGAGACTGTGGACCCTTGGGGTGCATTGGAGCAGCAGTATGGCTGCAGCGTCCCTTCGGGGCCTGGAGGTCACCCCAGCTCGGATGTAGTGGCATGGCAGGGCACCAGGTCCTCCCGGGAGGAGGTTCTTGAAGTGGCAAGCAACGAGGGAGAAGAGGATGGTTGTGGCACCAGAATCAGCAGGACATGGGAGGGCAAGCAGTCCATCGCTCTGCCGCCTCCAACTTCCGGCCCTGCAGTGCGGGGCGCAGCAGCATTAAGCCATAGCCTGCAAATGCACGACAAACTTGTGCGAGGTGGCGGTGGTGGACGGGGCAGCGCCAGGTATGGTGGTTGGGGCGACGGGGAGCTTGCCGCGCCAGGCACCCTCATGGTGGGCACCGGTGCCATTGGAGAGCAACAGCACGACGAGGATGTGTTTGGGCCCACGGCTCTAGACAGCAATGGTTTGGCGTCACACTCGCTGGACGCGGCAGCGCCGGCGCTTGTGCCTGGACGCAGCGCGGGCGTGCTGGGCAGCGGGCCGTACGGGGCACAAAGCTTTCGAGGTGGTGGGGGTGTCGTGGATGTGCTCGCTGATGACGCGATGGTGGAGGACATAGAGGATGCTGATTTGGAGAGGGAGCTGGCGGCACAGGGCGCGTTGCCTGGGGACCTGGCGGCGAAGCTGGCGCAGTATGAGATGATGATGCAGGATGATGCGGATGAGTGCTGAGCAGTGCCGCAGCTGTTTGCTCCTTTCTGTTGATGCTGCTGTTTGACCAGTAAGTTCGCACGCTTACAACCCGCGTCAGTGCGCCGTTTGTGGCCGTAATCCTGCCCAGACCCCGCTTCGTGAGTAATGTCCAAAATGTTGGGCTTGTCTCTTGGTTTGTCCCCACTTCGAACCCCTACAACCACCACATGTGCCCGACAAGCACTCACAGCAGCATGCGCTTGATGAGGTTACACACGTCAAGCAGCATGCTTCAAAGGACGTCTACAAACAGGATGAGACGCCTGCTGTTGCTATGGCACACACCAAGCCAAGGGCAGTTTTGCAGCCCTGACAGACATCCAAAAGCCGCAATCGTGAAGCTGTTGCAGTGGGCGTATGCAGGCACGTTGTGCATTCCAACACTGCACACCTGCTGCATGGCAGCTGCGCGTAAAGCCGCAGCGCCCAGCGCATCCCATCTGTGCGGCACATTGCGCCAGGAACCACCGCTGATGCGCCCCGCCGCGCAGCCATCACCGCGTTTGGGGTGCTGCGAAGGTCCCGGCTCGGCGCATTGGCGCTCAGTGGTGGTTCTTTGTGCCGCTGGCCTTATCGTAGACTACGTAAACAGCAAAGGCCCCGAGGCCGAAGAAGAAGCCTGGCAGCGCGTTGCGCGGGTTGAACTTGAGCAGCGGGTGCGCGCGCCACGCCTCGTACTTCTCCCACTGGAAGCCGATGCTCTTGTCCACGGCCATGAGTGGCTGATTCTCAGGCCTGGTGAGGCCGTTCCTGTGGCTGCTAGTGCCGGCCTACGCTAGGAGCGCCGAGTAGTGAGGGCTCAAGCAGATCACTTACAAGGCTGGAACAGCTGCCGAAAAGCATACAAGGTATTCAGGCTATGAGCATCGTCCTGGGGCAATGCCTGGGTATGATGCGTCTAGAGCAAGTGTTTCGTGGCGTCACTCGTTGCCTGCGCGTCTCCAGCACCTGTGGGCATGTATAGCGCTCAATGTTGATCCTTGATCGCGTGTAGCACCGCTTTTACAAGCTCTGTTGCATGCATCCTGCGCGCTGGAGATCGTCAGCGCTGCAGGGTGGACCGCGGCAGCAGCACCTGGTTGGGCGCAGGCGCTCCTGGATTATAAGTGCGCGTGATAGCGTTGGCGGTATGGCAGCCGCTGGATACCTTGTGCACGGCAGTATTGCGCAACCACCCAAGCAGCTGGCGCCATTGCTGAGTGAGGCGGCGAGCAGGCAGGTGCCAGCAAGCAGAGTGTACGTGCTGGTGGAAGGTGAGGACACTCACCTGCTTTACATTCTGCCGGGCAGTCACAGGGCACATGAGAAGGCATGCGTGAGCGGCACGATGTCAGCACGGGGCGCCTGATTGCGGGTAGTGTCACAGCTCATGCTGCTGCACCAACCAGCCTCCCGCTGCTGCATGCTGCGGCGCTCAGGTGCGGGAGACTGCGCGACCGAACCGCTCCTGGAATGGCTTGGGCAGCTGTACGGCCTGGTTGGCGCCTTCGCGCCCCGCCTGGACGTGGTGCCGCTGCTGCCATTTGCGGGCTGGACCCCGGGTGAGCGACGTGGCAGTGCTGGTTGCAGCATTAATGCCCCTTTGCCAGTGATGCGTATCAGCACAGCCCTGGTTGCGCGCTTCTGGAGCCAACCAAGGTAATGATAATGGATTATGGCACACGGGGCTTGACCGAGCAATGGAGGGGTGTATCAGCCATGGCGTTTCCAGGGCTTGCTGAAACTTGTCCAATGCGCTCAACCCCACAACACCTGTTCCAACTGCACCCTCGTGGTCGTGCTCCACGCTCGGCAGAGGCCGTTGCTTCGCTGGTCGATGTTCAGGTGTTGACCCTCTCTGCTGCCACACGAGAATCACAAAGTCGGGACGGCGACGCAGGGGTTGGTGACACATCCGGCACCGCCTTCAGGACGCCGTCAATGGCAGCAGCCGCTCCTCCTTTATTGGCAGGTGTCGCGACGGTCGAGGCTGCGCAGAGAAGCGGGGATAGGGACGGCGGCAGAGGGGGGTTGGCCATGCTCATGGAGCCACGAGTGCTTTCTGAGCCGCCAGCAGCGGTCAGTGCAGCAACGGGGGCGTCAGCGGCGTTGAAAGCGACGGCTGTGGCGTCGAGCACGCCAGCAGCAGCAGCGACAGCAGCAGCAGCGGCCGCAGTCGCAGCAACAGCTGCAGCAGCTAGGCAGGAGCGGCAAGACAGCAGTGGCAAGGCAGCAGCAGGCGCGATTGCGGTGGATGAGCAGCTTGCATTTGTACATGTAGCGGTAGGCGGCACATTTGACCGGCTGCACGCTGGCCACCGGCTGCTGTTGGCCGCCACAGCGCTGTGTGCGACGCAGCTGGTGTATGTAGGCGTTACAGGTGAGGGGCGGGACAATTTTTTTTGAAGGGCAGCAGGTGCACCCAACTCCCGCGCGTGCCACGTGTCGTGATGAATTTCAAGCATACTTCAGCTGTTGGTGATGAAGAGACAAATGCATGAGAACTCTCACCATGCGGCTTGTCTAACTCGTCGTATTGCGCCCTTTCGGCATACCCTCCCTGCCACCACCTCCCTCGGGCAATAACCCAGCCGACGAGCTCCTGGCCAAGAAGGCGCACCACGACCTGCTGCAGTCGCTAGAGGCCCGCACCACCGCTGCCGCGGACTTCATGAGCAGCGTGAGGCCGGCTCTCACGGTCACCACCGGCGCGCTGCGAGACCCATCCGCGCCCACTCAGGCCGAGCTGGACCCAGATATGCAAGCGCTGGTTGTGTCGCGCGAGACGCTGAGCGGTGGCGAGGCCATCAATAGCGGCCGGCGCGCGCGTGGGTTTGAGGAACTGCGGCTGGTAGTCGTCAGCCTGGTGGGGGAGCAGCCAGGTGGGGGCAAGCTGAGCTCGACGGCGTTGCGCGAGCAGGACGCAGCGGCTGGCCGTGATGGCGGATAATGGTTCGGCTCGTTGCTGGTGGGGCGGTGACAAGGGCTCGCTTGTAACCAAGAACCTGCTCTGAACCAAGAACCTGCTCTGTACTGTAAATGGCGCATGACATGTAAGCGCTTGTTACATTTTCTTGAGGTCTCACCTTTTGGACAGAAGGAGCAACAGCATCAGACAGGCGGTGAGCCTCCAATCACGGTCCGGGTGTCGCCATTCCAATGACCCTTCCCACAGTGACACGACTGTGCTGTGGGAAAGTGGACTTCTTAGACCTGCTGTGTGCTTCATGTCTTTTGATGGGAAGGCTTACGTGACAGGGAAGCGGGTCAGATGATCAGTGCTATCATACGGTACCGTAGTCTGTGCTGCAGATATGGACTGTAATGTTTGCCGGCATCTCTCCCGTACCGGTATGACAGTTTGCGCCTTTTAGCACGCGTGTCATGTGCCTCACAGCAATGCTGATATATGCTCAATTCATATGATTTATGTTGCGCATGTTGCAGTGCAGCAACAGTCGATCTGATCGCCGTCGTCGTTCTGCAGCGGCCTTGGCTATCCAAACGAGTACGAAACAAAAATTTGTTACGCAACCTGACCGGGGCGTGTAGGCTGGACCCTGCAGTCCAGCGTGCCATTGGCGGGAGTGCAGCTTGGTGGGCGCCGCAGCGGCGGCTGGTAGCGCTGGGGGCGGACCATGGTGCTCCCAAAGCCAGTGGAGGGCCTTGAACCCCTCCTGATCAAGGAGGGCGACCTGGTGATTGTTTATGAGAGCTACACATCCATCAATTCTGCATACATGGACAGCAAGGGGACCTACACCAGCCGCTTTGGCAACTTCCTCCACAAGGTGCGGTGCGGCTGCGACGCTGCCACCCAAGCAACCGCGCCACCACTGGAAACGACGACATATGTGTGGCAGTCAGATTCAGCAGCCATGGCGCCGTATGGCACGATGCCAGCAGGGAAGCGTACGCAGTGCGGCTACCAGAACCCGTCTCGCCATGCCCTGGGCATCCCGACCCCCACGCCACTTCTCACTCCTGACGCGCACACGCGCCTCGCCCCAGGACTGGATTGGCACGCCTTATGGCGCCCGCGTGCGCAGCCGCCCGCCTGGCCGTGGCTGGGTGCAACTGCTCGCGCCGACACCGGAGCTGTGGACGCTGGTGCTGCGCCACCGCACTCAGATCCTGTACATTGTTGATATCGCCATGGTGGTCACGTACCTGGACTTGCGACCCGGCTGCCTCGTGCTCGAGTCGGGCACCGGCAGCGCGAGCCTCACGCACTCGCTCGCGCGCGCAGTCGCGCCCACCGGCCGCGTGCGCAGCTTCGAGTTCCACGAGTTGCGCGCCAAGGAGGCCGCGGCCGAGCTGCTGCGCAACGGGCTGCCGCCGACGCTGGCGAGCGTGGTGATGCGCAACATAGAAGAGAAGGGGTTCCCTGTTGACGAGCTGGAGGGCACGGCTGATGGCGTTTTTCTGGACCTGCCGGGACCCTGGAAGGTGGTGCAGTCGGCGGCCCAGTGCCTGAAGCCGAACGGGCGCTTCTGCTCCTTCAGCCCGTGCATCGAACAGGTTAGGACAGATGAGTGGAAAGGCCGTGAGCGGCGCACAGGGCTGGGGCCCAATGGCTGAGCAGGCTGGGGCTGCTGCTTGGTGGCCAAAGCGGGTGGGCGGAGCCAGTCAATCGTGCGGGCTGCGGCCGCTCGGTGAGGGGCAGGCTTGCGCATCTAAACCGAGCGCTCACAGGCCTGGGGCATCGATACGTTGGGATGCACCTGCACATGCTCCCACGGCGCCTGCTCTGCTGTGGCCCTCCAATCGGCCGCAACCGTGCTTGTCCCCGTAGGTCCAGCGCACATGCGAGGCGCTGGACGGTTGCGGCATGACTGACATCGTGACGTATGAAGTGCTCCTGCGCAACTACGAGGTCTGCGAGGAGACGCTACTAGCGCATGTGCTTAATAATGCGCCAGTCGCTGATGGTGGCCCAGAATTAGAGGCAGAGGCGGTGGCGGCTGGGGCATCAAAGAAGCGTGGACGGGAAGACGGCAAGGAGCTGGGCAGCAACAAAGCTGTAGGGGTCAGCAGGGGCCCGGAGCAGCAGCAGCAGCAGCCGTCGCAACAGCAGTTGCAGGCTACTGCGGAGGGGAGCACAGCATCGCTTGGCCAGCTACAGGAGCAGGGCCAGGTGCAGCAGCAGCAGCAACAGCAGCAGCAGCAGCAACAACAGCAGCAGCAGCAACAGCAGCAGCAGCAGCAACAGCAGGAGCAGCAGCAGCAACAGCAGCAGCAGCAGCAGCAGCAGCAACAGCAACAGCAGCAGCAACAGCAGCAGCAACAGCAGCAGCAACAGCAGCACTGGCAGCGGGGCCGGGACCACATTGGCGACGGCGCCCCTTTGACGCCACCCATCAAGATGGTGGTCAGCAAGCCGTCCATGGACGCACGCGGGCACACTGGTTACCTGACTTTTGCGCGGAAGTTCTTGTAAAACTTGGTTGCATATATGGTGGGCGATGCCGCGTCACTGCCACTGGATCACCAGCAGCATTGGACGGGGAAGAGGAGGGGGGCCTGCAAGGCCAACATGAGAATTGTTGCGCCGACTGAATTTGCTACCAGAGGAGGATTATGAAACGTTTGCCGGCTAGGTGCAACAGAATTACACTGAGACTTTGTGCCATTGCATGTCTCATCGCGGGAAGTGACAGTGACGATGATATGCACATACGGTGGACAGTGCACAGTAGAACTTTGCGTGATATATCGCAATTGGGGTCATTCACATGGCAGTTTATTCATTATTCCCTCATCAAACTGGTAGGGTCAATTGCAGATCAAGTGCAGTGATACGTCAGCAGATCCCCCCGCATATTGCCTTTGAGAACCTGAGATAGACGGACGTGATTGCCTGAAAACGTCACAGCACAGGCGCGGCCCCCATTGGCTGCTGACCCTGGCAGCGGATCAAAAAAAGGATGAACGTCCTGCGGACATGGGACCCACCGAGTGTGGAACGTCTGCAGACATTTGATATCATGGCGTTCAATCGCACTGAGCTGTTGGTGGCCGTCTTGGTGGTTGGTGCGTCAACTTGCTCGCCAACATGTTGCTGCTGCTGCTGTTGGTTTCGCTGCTGCTTCTTCTGCTGCTGCTGCGCCTGCGCCTGCGCCTGCGAATGCTGCTGCTGCGTGTCAACAGCACGAGCCCTTGCTGGTTTTGATGTGACTTGGACACGCATCCAAAGTGGATGGGCTGGAATGAACAATGCATGCAATGTTGCCCTGACCAACGTTGCCATGACCATTCTCTCAAGGCTCATCGTGACGTCCACTCTTGGCTTCTTGCCTCCCATCCCTTCAACAGCGGGGGCGTTTGGCACCGTCGACCTGCTCCTACAGCTGACGGCGCGCCCGCTCATCGCACGCCTGCTGCGCAATCAGGGCGCAGCTGCTGGTGCCACAGTTTCCCAAAAGCTTGTGACCAAGGCGCTCATAATAATCGTCAGCTTTGTCCACCTGGCCGTTCAGGTTGACGCGGCTGCGCTGCTCAAAGGAGGGCAATCTGCCCCATGCCAGATTAGCAGCCCATCTCAGCTGTACCCTTTGAAACCCTTGCCTGTCACCGACATGGTCCAGTGCCGCCTGCAGGGCAACCTCGAATTCGCTGCCGCCACGGGCAACGATCCTCTAATCCCCGTTCACCCTCTGCAGATCCCTGTTGGCCTGGCGGTGCTGCTGGACCCACGACTGGCGGCTGATCCCGTGTATGGCGTGAGCGCCATGTCTCTGGCAATGGTCACAATCAGCAGCGGCTACTTCACATATGACCTGGTGACAGTGCTACTGCGCTTTGATGTTGAGGGAGCGCAGTTTTTGTTGCACGCACTGTGCTGCCTCTTTGTATACGGCTACGCCGTGTTCTTCGGGACGCTGCACTGGTTTGGTGAGCGGCCGGGAAGCACGGGCTGTCGGGTATGCGATGGGGGCGGCAGGTGCACGAGGCACGGGAAGCAGGCAGATGCGTGTGTGCGTTCAGCAATGCAGTGCCAAACCTGTGTGCTGGTTAGGGCGCAGACTTCTTGAAGGGTTTTGGCGTCCTTGGTGTGAAGCCTTCAACACCCCCAATCTTCTCGCGATCTCCCTGCCTTCGGCAACCCAGGCGCTGCCTTCTTGATGTGGGAGCTGAGCACGCCGTTTGTGCACATTCGCTGGTTCCTGCACGCCAAGGGCCTTGGGAACACTGCGCTATACCTTGCCAATGGCCTCACCATGGTTTTTGTGTTCTTCTGCTGCCGCAATGTGTGGGGCACATGGTGCAGCTACTACTTCTTCAATGCGACCCAGAAAGAGCTGGACACCCCCCGCGAGGGCGGGTTCTCATCGGCCGGCATCTGGGGTTACCGCATTGCCAACGTCTCTCTCAACGCGCTGAATGCACTGTGGTTTTGGAAGATGGCCTCAAAGGCGGCTCGCTTGCTTGCTGGCGGCAAGGAGGACACGCACAGCAAAAAGCGCGCACATGAGCAGAGCACAGAGGGGGGGCAAGGCAAGAAGCAGCGGTAGCATTGGCGCGCTTGATTATGGGTTGATGGCCTTGCGAGCTTTTTGAAATTTCCACAATCCAAAGCCTCGGTTCCGCGACTTGCTCAATTACAGTCATGTGCACAACCTATTGTTTGATGCAGTGTTTCTGATTGAGCTGGCCTGCACTTCAGGTCTCACAATTTTAGGTGTTCTTTCAAGCGAGATTATGCCTCCCTTGATACATATGCGTGTAATTCTGCAAATGCAGGGGATGACTAACAAGAGTTATCATATCGAGTGGTCCAAGGGGGTGCAAAGCGTTTTTCGCAATTCAAGACTTGAAGCGCCAAACAACCAGCGCCACCACAAACGGTCATGGCCTCGTAGCCTCATTACCTCCAAGACTAGTCTCAGTTTTCCATGGTGCTCAGGAGCAATCGATCATGGTTGGCTGCTGTGATGCGCTGCACCCGTCTGAAACCCTCGTCAACGACGATATCCAATCCCACAGATGCCACATTGCCAAATGCAGCTCCCTTGTTAATACTCATGCTTGCTTCGCTAATGAAGTCACTTGCTTTGAGAGACCTACTTACAGCCATGAAAGAAACAAAGCAGCACAGCCATCTCATCCGGTTGCTTGCAGGAAGGCACCGGCATGATGAGGGTGGGCCTTCCAGGAGTTGTTGTCGAGCTTGAAGTGCCGATTGGTGCTACACTGAGTGCGACGGCAGCAGCACTGCAGGTCGCGCCAGACGGGAGCTTGCATTGAAACCAGGCGCAAGGCTGTGATAGGCAATCAATGCAGCTGGTTTGACGCGCACCCCAGCAGCTAAGGGCTTTCCATAAATATCAGCAAGGCAGTCTCGTTCACGCGAGACCTGCAGTATGGTTTCTCCTGCCATGCGCATTTCATCAGGTTTACTACTGTTAATTCGCATGCATTGGAACCACTTGAGAAGCGGCCTGCAAGGGGGCCAAGCAACCACACTTGGCTCTGTTGTGTCTTGTGTGCGCATGCAGCTCGCGCTGTGGTTGTGAGGGTGTGGGTGGCTGGGCATAGCAGGATCTATTAGTTGTGTCGCTGTCTGCTTCACGCAAGCCAGGTTCCTTGTACATAACAGGAGAGGCACTACAGCAAAGCCGCAACGATGACTGAATGATTGGTGAAGCTTCTGTCATGGCCGCACGGCGTACCGTACGCCATTGCCAGGTCAAAGTGGCATGAATTATAATTTCCTGGGCTGCATTCGTTATTATTGGCTACTATCTTAACGGCCACCCAGTCGCTGTGCCACAGCGAGGCCGTAGATCGCAACAGAATGGACGATGACGGCCAGGTCAGCGCTCTGGTCTGCGACAATGGCTCAGGCATGGTGAAGGTGAGTTTGGGACTTGGGAGTGGTTGACGTCCTGGTTGGGTGTGCTCAACCAGACCACAGCGGGTGTGGTTGCTTGCCGCGCGGGCGTGCCCGCTGCTATCACTGACTCTAGTCGGTTGACTCCTTTGCAGGCTGGATTTGCCGGCGATGATGCTCCCAGGGCGGTGTTTCCTAGCATCGTGGGCAGGCCCAGGCACACGGGTGTGATGGTTGGCATGGGCCAGAAGGCGAGTTGGCGAATGCTGCAGGGAACACCACTGTTTTTCGTGGTCATAGAAGCTCTTGATGCGGAACGCTCTGAAAGGCGGCGTTACGTTGCGCGTTCCATAGATGTGCTGCTGCGCGCTGCGCCAGCACGCTGGGGGTGCCGTGCGCGCGGACACCAAAGCATCCCTGGGAGTGTGGCGAACATCACATGGTACACGGCATGTGTTCGGCTTGCCGAGAATGCTAAGAGGGCGCGGCGGGCTACTGTGCGGCTCACGGTGACCGAGCAGTGGGCCTAATCAAAGACTGCAGGGCCGAGCTGGGGGTTGCTGCTGCATGTGCTCGCATGATGCCCGCAGGACTCGTACGTGGGAGACGAGGCGCAATCCAAGAGGGGCATCCTGTCTCTGCGGTACCCCATTGAGCACGGTATTGTTACGAACTGGGAGGACATGGAGAAGATCTGGCACCACACCTTCTACAATGAGCTTCGTGTAGCCCCTGAGGTGCGGGCGGCGGTGGCGTGAGGGGCGGCACGGCTCGCCGGCTGCAGATGCACTGTTTTTGCTGTGTCCTTTATTTGTCGTGCCCAAGACCCTGGCCGGATGGACAGCGATGAGCACAGACGGCGTTGAGGAGCACTTCCGCAGCCGCTGAGAGGGAGTGATCACGCACGGCAGGCGAAGCAGCAGCTGTCAATATAGGCAGCAGTGGCAGCAAGGTCTTGCATGGCGCAGCTTGGCGCTCAGCAGCACTAGCTGGGGAGTGTAACCGCCTCACCCAACAATGCTTGCCCTTGCACACCTGCCCCATCTTCACCGTATCCAGGAGCACCCTGTGCTCCTGACGGAGGCGCCCCTGAACCCCAAAGTCAACCGGGAGAAGATGACTCAGGTGCGGAGACAGCTGCTACTCCCTGCTGCAGCAATCAAGCGGGCATACACATCATAATTGTTGATTACAAAATGCCAATGGGTGAATGACAAAGTTGTCTGGCAGGCAATGTGCAGCATGCACATTTTAATCCTTGGGCACGTTTCAGCCTCCTGCAACCACCTCTTGCAACCACCTCTTGCAACCACCAAAGATTGTTACTGCAGCAGCATAGCAATGATGCACATGGCATGAAGCTGCCAGGTTGTCAACCGTTTCCATGTTGCTGTTGCGCTGCCCTGCAGATCATGTTTGAGACATTCAATGCACCGGCCATCTACGTGGCCATTCAGGTGGGTGGTGCGGCTGCTGGGCTGCTTTTCACGTCAGCTGATAGGCCAGACCACAGCAGCAGGTATCATCAACTAATGAGCTGCTGGTGATTGAACAGCCAGCCCTGTTCCCAGACAGATCAGAGCCATAATTGCGAGCAGCTTCGGCTTGCCTGGGCGCCAGTAATCCAACCCAGGGTGCCGCATCCCTAGCTGCATCAAATCTTGAGGGCTGCCAAGCCCCCGACAGCGACACCTTTCCAGCTGTTTGAAATGCTCTTTCTCAACTGACTGGCTTGCCACGACCGCAACCCGCGACAGGCTGTGCTGTCCTTGTACGCCAGCGGGCGCACCACCGGTATCGTGCTGGACTCTGGTGACGGTGTGACCCACACTGTGCCCATCTACGAGGGCTACGCACTGCCCCACGCCATCCTGCGCCTGGACCTGGCCGGCCGCGACCTCACCGACTGGCTCATGAAGATCCTGATGGGTGCGCTGCGCTTGAAGGGCTGCTGCTGTGTGGGCAGTGGGGACGATTTTCCAGGGTGGTGGTGGTCAACACAGTTGAGGCAGCTGTTTTTGTGGATAAGCATTGATGTGGCGCCGTTGTGCATTCCGACAGTCACATGGCGGTAATTGTGGTTTGCAGAGAAGTGCAGTTGAAAAAACATATTTATAAGCCAGCCGCAGCTGCGGTGTGGCGTTGTGGGGTACCTCAGCCAGCCAGGCAACCCTGCACCTGCCCGCGGTCGCACCCTCCTTGTCGCCCCCACTGGCGCCTCTTGCCTTCCACCTGCAGCCGCCCTTTTCCACACACGCACACTTTCCCAGATCCTGTTTCTCCCACCGCTACCATCAAACCTCACAGAGCGCGGCTACAGCTTCACCACCACCGCGGAGCGCGAGATCGTGCGCGACATCAAGGAGAAGCTGGCCTATGTGGCGCTGGACTTTGAGGGCGAGATGTCCACGTCCATGAGCAGCAGCGCGCTGGAGAAGAACTACGAGCTGCCCGACGGCCAGGTCATCACTATTGGCAACGAGCGCTTCCGCTGCCCCGAGGTGCTGTTCAACCCGTCCATGGTGGGCATGGAGGCCAACGGCATCCACGACACCACCTTCAACTCCATCATGAAGTGCGACGTCGACATCCGCAAGGACCTCTACTCCAACATCGTGCTCAGCGGCGGCACCACCATGTTCCCGGGGATCGCCGACCGCATGAGCAAGGAGATAACGGCGCTCGCGCCCTCCGCGATGAAGGTCAAGGTGGTCGCGCCCCCGGAGCGCAAATACAGCGTCTGGATCGGCGGCTCCATCCTGGCCAGCCTATCCACCTTCCAGCAAATGTGGATCTCCAAGTCAGAGTACGACGAGAGCGGGCCCTCCATTGTGCACCGCAAGTGCTTCTAGAGCAGCTCGGCCAGCTGGCGTGGCCGCAAATCGGGGGCCTTCTCGCTCTCCAGGCATATGCTCCCTGGGGCCAGCAGGGTGCATGGGAAGGCGCGCAGCCAGCAACTATGGTGCTGTGCGTGCTTATTCTCTTCTTCCTGTGACGCGCCTGACATGCTGCAGTGCTTTTGACGCCTGGTGATTGCAGCCCTTTGACACGAATTTCATGTCACATCACGTGATGTAATGCACCCCCTTTTTGTTGTCTGGGGTGAGCCACGTGGTTCTTCGTGTGTATGGTGCCGCAAAGCTGGAGAGCTCACTACATCTCAAAAGGACCAGGCAGCTGACACTGTGTGTTGCATTTGTTGGGCACACAGTGCCTTGCCTGTGCCAGCCTTGCCTGCTGTGCTGCTCTTGTGCCAAGAACTCCTTTCTGTGGTGCACCCTCTCTAGAAAAGCGGTCCTCACGCACAAAAGTACAGGTGCAGAGGTGAGGTTACATGAACGCTAGCTGAGAAAGCAGCAGGGATCAAATGCTTCAACAGCAAAGCAACAAAAGACAAGAGCATATTGTAGTGACATGTTGTGCCAAGCATCAAACATGGGTTGATGATAACAAGCCGCATGAAGCGTGCAGCTCCTCTGCCAAGGTTGTTGCCGTGCACCACAACAGTGGGAAGCAAACACATGTATGTAAACACGCGAACGCTCAAACATGACCTTTCCCAGGCATGAGTGGCGGCAGCCTCCTCCAGCGGAGCAGCTGCAGTACCAAGGTCTTGAGTAACAACAGCCTTCACAACTCCTCGAAACGAATCTCCGACTCGCACAGGGGGCAGGTCTCCTTGCGCTCCAGCCACTCATAGATGCACTGCATATGAAAGTGGTGGCCGCACTGCGTCCAAATCCGAGGGTTGCCTGTGATAGAATTGAGCAAGGTTGAGGAGGCAGTCATGCTCCGCAACTGGAGAAGCCGGCACGCAGGCGGCCTACATTTCTCAGCACAAGGTGCCCGTGCTCAGACTTAAAAGCCCTGCTGCATCAAGCAACTGGTGCTCAGCAGGCCCGCCCGGAACAGTAGCAGTTAGGCCTGTTGTGTTGGTATCCATCACCCCATCGGATGGCGCATCGCACTTTGTGTGTACATCTCCAAGCAGGTGGCGCAGCAGTCGTCGTCCTCCTCCTCCTGCTGCGACTCCCCGCCGCCCAGCAGCTTCTCAGTGCCCATGCCCCCAGCCGTCAGGTCTCCAGACAGATCCACAAGGGGCTCCTTGGCGAGCTTGCCCACACTCCCCCTGCCAACACCGCCGACCCCGCCGCCGCTGGCCCCGCCACTGCCGCTGCTGCTGGCGCTGGCTCCAACGCCAGCCTTGCTGCTGCTGCCCATGCTTGCGCCGCGAGGGTGCTGTGTACTGGCTGGTCCAACATCTGTCAAGGGCCATGCGCGGCCTGCGCTAGCGCATGTATCTGTGATAGGGAGTCCATCCGACAGGCCAGCGGCATCGTGTCACTTCGCCGTGCAAACTTGTGCGGTGCGACAAACGATTTCGCGTGTGCTCGTTCCCCTCATCTTGCAACTCCACAGCGACGCCTCACCTGTGCGCATGTGCTGCGGCAGCTCATACAAAATGGTGTCCGCCGCCGCAGCTGTTGACTCCCCATTGCTGGGCCCCGGCTGCTCAGGTGTGGTGTGCTGCAGGGCAGGCACGATTGCGATTGCATCGGTTACAAGCTGCCTCTCTGCTGCAGCGGGTATGAGAAGAAGCTGGGCGACATACAAATGGTACGTGCCCCTCCTCGAGAGATATATGAGCTTTGCAGCAACCACCCACGACATTGCTGCAGCTGCTCCGCTGATCGCCACATGACAGACCCAATGCGCATCCCAGTGCACCTTTGACAGCAACGTGCCGTGCTCGTAATCGCTCTCGCCCAGCGACGAAGCAGAGCTCGCCGGCGGGGGCGGGGTGACAGTCGGCGCCTGATAGTGCGCCAGCCGGTCGTGATGAGCCGGAACGCGCCTACAGCCAGCGGGCCAGCAAAACAGGAGCAGCAAAGGGATGCTGATGAGGCAGATGTGCAGGAGAGCAGCCACAACAGCTGCATGCTCGTGCAATTGCCTCCTGTCGCAGTGCTTTACTGAGAGGAGGCACAGGCACCGCGGCACCAAACAGGGCTGGCCCGGCACGTCCGGGCGCCTACCTTTCGGCGAAAGGCTGGTCTGGGCCCTTGAAGCACCTGAAGATCCGCCACAGGCATGCAGCGCAGGCGCTGCCGCACGAAACGCCTGCACCGCGTCGTTGCATCTGCGGCGTGCCCGGCGTCTCGTGGCTCGGGTCTTGCGGCGCAGACTCCAAACGCAGATACTGCCCGGGTGCTGTGCTACCAGGTGACATAAGCACGGGCGCAGCGCCGGGCGCCGCAGTGGAGCACGCGGCGCAACACCAACAGCGCGCCGCAGAGCAGAGACTGCCAAGCGAGCTGCCACGCCGTGCCGCGCAGTGAACAGGTCCCTAGAGCTGTTTATTATTCACACATGGCTGCGGCTGCACAACACAAATGATCCACGACCTGAACAGCAAGCGAGGGCTTTTGCGACAACAAGCCACAGAACACTTCGTGTCCAAGCTGATGGAGTTCCACGCATCAGCCACAAGAACCTACAAGGCAAAATAAGCGAGGAGGAGCCGAAGAGGGACAACCAAGGGTCGTTGGACGGGAGGCGGGTGATCGCCCTCGTGGTCTCTGGACCGCTTCGGCTTCCTCGCTACGGTATGATACGGTACTGAAATAATTATCAACCCAGAACGGCGCTGGGGCGACGGATAACGCATGCGGGCTTGTTCGCCCATGACCTGCCTGCCTTTCTGCCTGTTGCCCATGGGGTGATTGAGTGATGAGCACCCCTGGTCCCACAATCCTTGCGTGCCCCGGCAAGAGTCCTCATGCTGCACTATGATACCAACTACCGGTATTGCGCTAGGATGATATGCTACAAGAAGCGAACTGTGCCGGTGCATTCATCAGGGAAGAAGCTACTTCAAATGTTTACTTTTATTGATGCCAGCTTCAGCCCCAGCATGTAATATGGGATGCCCACATCCACTGCTGACATCATCATCACACAGTCACTCCCTGTTTACAGCCAGTCGACCTGACTCGACTTGCTATAAGCCTTTGCATGTCTCTACCCGCTGCAATAGTTCATGGTATGAAACACAAAAAATGCTGGAACAGCTGCTGGTCTTGGATGTAGCCCGTAGTTTGAACAAATCGTTCACATATGGCTAACAAGCCCGAGCGAAGACAAGGATATGGATTGTTTTCACAGCGTCCTGAGGTCGCGTGCTTCTGGAGCCACCCAGGTCCTATGGGATTGAACAACACAGCATCCCAATGCTACATCCCATGAGCCTGGATGGCTCCAGGACCGGGCGACCGCGGGATCGTGCAACAATCCTAATCCTAATCCACATGTGGGAACGGTGATGCTATGCACAGCATCACCGTTGTGTGAGATTCAGGAGAGAGAGAGAGAGAGAGAGAGAGAGAGAGAGAGAGAGAGAGAGAGAGAGAGAGAGAGAGAGAGACTACACAGGCAGTAACGCCCGCATGAATTGAGGAAGAGGGGGCTGGCCGCTGCGCCGCCCCCTCCCCCACCAAAGTAATGGGGAGGGGGCCAATCCCCCTATAGGCAGATGAAGTGCCAGGCAGATGAAGTGCCTGATGAGGCCGGCTTTCCGTCGCGCATGCCCTACACTACCAACAAAAGGGGCTAGTTATTTTGGTTATTTCCCATAGGATTCTCAGCAGAATAACATGTGTTATGCGCGCACATAACACTCCGATTCCCATTGATAACCGGAGTAAATTTGTCCCTATGATATGGAGGCTAACCCACTGATAACACGCTGGTTATCCGGTGAACCTGTTAACATGGTTAACAACTGCTGTTACCTGTTATTTTTGTTAACTTGGATATCTGGTTATCTGTCATATCTGGATAACTTTGTTATCTGCTTAACTTGGATAACTGGTTATTTGGATATCGGGTTATGTGCTTTGAACACAAATAACCATGTTATCAAACCACTGTTATACGTTATCTGCAGTAACCGGGCAAAGAGACCGTAAATTTGTTATCTGCCATCACTAGCTGTTATGTGGGTGATCCTGCTATCCCCCTTACTCGCTGTTACGGCTATGATCATGCCGTCTCTAACCACCTGCTGTTACGTTTGCAGTCGCGTGTATTGCAACCACCCGCTGCGCACCATGGTGCTTGTGCGGAATCCCCTTATCATCAAAGAGCATGGATGGTGCGCCTTGCACAAACAGCTCTCCAATGCACCCTACAACTCTGCAGCCTGCCCATGCTGCCTCTCACCTGGATGCTCCCTCCACCCTCCTTGTGCATGGTGCCTATGCCAGCGCCGCCAACCGGCTACAGTCCACCGAGGGTTCTCAATGCCATCGCCACTGGCACTGCCGCCGCTGCTTCCGCTGTCACCAACCACCCCTAGGCTGAGCATAGAGCTGTTTAACGTCCAGGTTGAAGGGCCTTGGTCGAGTGCTTGAGCTCACCTGAGTTGAACGGGTATCGGCGTGGGACATTCGTAAGGTCACCGCAAGGTTGCATGATGCTGCCTGGCTGTGGAGTTTGGGGAGCTTGTAAGATCGCCTTGCCCCACTGAAACGGGTGATATGCAAAGCAACCATTCGTTGGCGCAGTGGGTCCTCACATTCTAGGCTTCTCACTACTGATGTGGTGGCATGTTGACATGTCTTGAGCTGAAGCCAAAGCAATGCACCTGCCCCCACGCACCTTGTCGCCGCCTCCATTATGCCGTTGTCGATCACCCCCATTCAGCATGTGCAGTGCCCGCAATCCTCAGGTGATGCCGGGCACCCTGCACAGATGAACGCGCCCATTCCCACACTGCCCGCGGTGGCGACCTGTGGTTGCAGCACCGTCGGACATGCGCATGAGTGGCATTGATCGAAAATCGACGAGCACATCGTTTAATTGGGCAAGCATGTTGGCCGCACAGCTGACCGCGCAGCACACATACAACCACGCTGCTGGCCCGCCGGCGCACGGTCATGAGACCACTGTCGCAGCTGCACTACGGACGGCGCGCCTTGAGTGTGCAGGATTGCCCGCACACCACCACTTGGCCCCGCACACCACCTAGCCAGCCTTGCACACCAGGACGATGCTCCTGTCACTGGTCTGATAATGCCGGTCTCCTGCGCCAAGATCAGGCCGACTCACCGAGCAGGATCGTTTGCAGGTCCAGAGATCTGACATGCACACCAAAGTGGTTGGCAAGATCATCTTCGGCCCCTGCGTGGCTGATCGGCGCACTATGAGATATATTATATCATGATCAGAAAGCTGACTCGCTCCTGGAGCTGCGCTAGCAAGCAAACGCCGGAGCAACTGGGGTGCGACAAACAAGCTGATCGCACACTTTCTGGGTGGTGGCGCACCACGAACCAATGATCAAGGAATCGAATAAATTGCTGAGAGAGTCTGGAGGCGGGGAGCAACCGGATGACGCAGTGCCACAATGATCTGAGGACAGCAGTGCGTTGGAGTAGTGTCGCGGTTGCAGTTGATCAAACAAATATACTTTGACTTCAATGTGTTTTGTGTTTCAAGAATTGAACAAACATCCTTACAGCCTGTGTGGCAAACACCACTCAACAGGGGAAGTTCGCATGTTGCTGCGAGCCATTACCGCTAGAGCAAGGTGTAAAATGTACGGTCATATTTTGTCATCTGCATCTAAGGCCGTGGGATGCTGTCCAGCGGTGCAGGCTCCAATGCATCGTCACTGCAGTAGAGCCATGCATGCTGCGCCGGACCACAAAGCAGCATGCACTGGCTGGACCCACAAGCAAGGGTCTCTGAGATTGCGTGTGGTGAGTTGCGAGTGTGCGGGTTGTCACGGGTGCAAAAATGCAGCTTGTTGTGCGCTGCGGCACGCCCTCGCGCACGCATCGGAATGGGTGAAAGCGGTGAGCTGGGCACCGAGCGCCCCACACACGCACCCCGGGGCGACAGATCGTATTCCGCGCACGCTGGTCACGTTATCACGATATACCCAAAGAATCCCCCAACACAGTACTTTACGCCATTGATGTCAAAAATGGAATGGTAGCTGGTAGTGGCGTGCCTCGCTTCAGCTGTTGCCGACCACCTCACTCCCTTTCCTCTCTCATTTGCTGCTGACCTTGCAGTTGGTGGCAGCAGTCGACAGCCCGTGCTTGCTGGAGCGGCTACTGTACTGCAAAACGTTTGTGGTGATGGATGAAGTGGATCGCTTCACTACAGTGCTGGACGTACATGCTCCCCAGTCGAGGTTTGTGTAGAGGCGCATG